GCAGAATAACAGAATAGAAAGGGACGTTGGAGATCTTTTAGTCCAACCCTTACCATTTCAGACAAATGGTTATATAGTCTCTTCTTAAAAACCTCCAGTATTGGAGTACATACAACTTCTAGAGGCAAGTCATTCCATTGGTTAATTGTTCTCACTGTCAGGAAATTTCTCCTTAGTTCTAGGTTGTTTCTCTCCTTGATTAGTTTCCATCCGTTGCTTCTCGTCCTGCCTTCAGGTGCTTTGGTTTACCCCCCCCCCTCTTCTTTGTGGCAGTCCCCCAAATACTGGAACAGTGCTATCATGTCAGCCCCTAGTCCTTCTTTTCATTAGACTAGACATACTCAATTCCTGCAACCATATTTCATATGTTTTAAATAATTAAACCATATGTTAAATAATTAAACTAAAATTTTCTATTCTTAAATGTTAGTCTTTTGTTCCCTCCTGTGGCTAATGTTGGAGTAGAACTTAAATGCACGTGAGGTTGCCCTCTAGATATAGTTTGTAAACCACAGATGTATTAAAAATGAAGATGAATAAAAAGATGAAGAGAAAAAGAAAGTGAAAAAAATTGGTATCTCAGCTGAAGATAAAAAATGAAATATCAGCTTGTAGTTAGGGTAAAAGGTTATAGAAAAGTAATAGTTTGTAATAACACTCAAGAGGTTCCTTCCTTTAAAAATACTGTAGTCTTTATAGTTTGTAATCCACAGATGTAGAGTGCTATTTGCAGACCAATAGAATTTGAGGTGTCTTATTGCAGTTTAGAGCACAGTTTTACAACCCTGGTAAATCAGTTTACAATCCTCATAAATTAGTCTTGCTTTGTGGTTACGCTAAACAACCCTTGCCTTGTAATAATAGCCAAATAATCTATAGTGTAAACAGCCTTGTAGTGTAAACAAAGTCTTGATCAGTATTTTCAGGATCATTCAATACATAAAATTCACTAATTAATTAATTAATTAATTAATAATTAAAATTCAAGAAGTGGCTCACTTGCTTATAGTAACTTGAGGTTCTTTACCTAGGAATATGTCTGCCTGACATCACCTGTTTCTTATGCATTTGTCTCTCCTGCTTTTCTAAGATGTGTAAGTAGGAGTGCAATTGTTTGTTGGGGGGGGGCTTCTCTCAATATTCTTTGGAGAGAGTTCCACTAGCAAGTACTGTCTAATAAACACTGCAGTAAAGCTTGATTATTTGCCTTGGGTCCTGCATTTGACTCCACACTTGTAAACAAGATAGAGAATGAATAGAAGGCAAGACAAGAAACAATGGATGGAAACTAATCAAGGAGAGAAGCAAAATGGAGTTATGGAGAAGCTTCCTAACAGTGAGGACAATTAACCAGTGGAACGGCTTGCCTTCAGATGTTGTGGGTGTTTCATCACTCGAGGTTTTTAAGAAGATCCTGGAGAGCCACTTGTCTGAAATGGTAGGGTCTCTCCTGCTTGAGCATGGGATTGGACTAGAAGACCTCCAAGGTCCCTTCCAGCTCTATTCTGATTGGTTGAATGTGTCTAATAGATTACCACCTCAGTTACTCCATTGCTATATACAACATTCCCTGGTAATAGTGAGAAAAGTAGCAGTCAGCTTTGGCAGATTTGGGATGGTGTGTCACAAGTGTAACCAAATCCCAGTTTTACCTCAAGGATGCTTGTGTTATTGTAATGTAAAATAGGATATCTAATTTACAGACCTGGAAGCGCACAACCCACAAACTAGGAGTAAAATGCCGTGCACAGATCACACAGGCAGGATGTAGGCATTTATCCATTTATCCGTAACCGTTATATCTCCTTGAATGCCTTTGTTCAATCTGATGCTATTGTCATTCAACTTTATTATCATTTGGGGTTTTAAAACAGGCATTTTTAAAATCCGTTACTAACATTTAGTTATCTCTCTATAAATAGGTACCCAAACCATTTTGGATTCCCCCCCCTTTTTTTTGAAGTCTGAGGCTTTGCAGAGAAATGGTCAGGACTTCATACTATATCTCTTAATTGTATTGGGTGGGGTGAGGCTGTAATTAAAACTGTTTCCTCTTTTTGGGTGATGTGTCTCTCTTCTAAGTGATGGCAGAAACCATAGTAGAAGTCTATTAGAATGAAACCTTATTGTGCTATATACTTTTTAATATACTGTTAATGCATCTGAAAAATAGATGGGAGCAATTTCTGGCTGGGGGAGTTTTTAGTGCGATATAGTGCTGTCATATAACTTTGGTCAGTTGAGGTAGTGATTAGTTCTCCCTTTTCCTTCACAATGGGCTTCTCCAGTTCAAGAAGGATGGAGAAAACTGCATCTAAGGCAATGAATAATTATCTTCTAATCTTCATAACTGTTACTTGTTTTACTGCAAGACACACCCAAACATTATTTTTGGCACTAAGCATGTTATGTCTTGCTCATACAATGACAGTCATAAATTAACTATGGTTTGTTGAATGAACAATAATTTTGGGGATCATACATTACACTAATCCATAAATTATGATATACAAACAAGGCAGAATTCATGAAACATGCTCAAGCAAGACAAACCAACTCACATTATGGCATGTGAGTCAAATATATGACCTCAGCTTACACAGGACATCTTGGTAGAGTTGTATCTGGGGGTACTATGAGTAAATGCTGTTTATAGGCAACCAATACTGTAGAAGAGAATATATGTAGCTCAGGACTGAACTGTTATATTCAATAGTTATATACCCTGTTTATAACTAGGGTAATAAAATTTATGAACCTAAAAATGATGTTGTTACCTAGTCAGGTTATGAAATGTCTGCAAGCGGACAACCAAGCTCAGAGAGCACCAAGGACCCCACAAATAGGCACCATTAGCCAGGCCTAAGATCTAAAAATAAAAGTGCTGGAATGGGAGCCTAAAATGGCGGTTTTCAGTCAAAATGCACGCCAGACCTTGCCTGGATCCTCACGTGATCGTCACGATCAGGAGACCCCGGTTATCAGGAAAGCTGTTGTCCTCACTGGCTCCTCTCTCATGGATTACAGGACTCTAAACCAGGGCGTTTCAACCTTTTCACCCATTGTGCCACTTTTAGGATATGGCAACATCCGAGTACCACCAGTCGCCTAGCAAGGTATCAAAAACCTGATGACCAAAAAAAAAAAAAAAGTGATGAAGTACAGGTAGTCCTCGACTTACAATAGTTCGCTTAGTGACTGTTCGAAGTTACAATGGCACTGAAAAAAGTGCCCCCCAAGCCACAGCCCAGCAAGACACCTGCCTGCCCGCTCGGCAGCGCTCTTCGTCCTGTCTGAGGTTTTCATTGTTGTGAGCATTTCTGTTGAGGATTGGCAGCGGGGGTGGGATGGGGGTGTTTGGTTTTTATTCCCTCCGTCTGCTGGATGGTTACAGGTTTTAGTCACTTCACATGACCCTGGGACACTGTGACCGTCATAAATATGAAACAGTTGCCAAGCATCTGAATGTAAATCACAAGACCTTGGAGATGCTGCAACATTCCAGCTGATCGGCGCTTCTTCTGGGCTCAGCAGAAGCGCCAGGATCAGCACCGAGCTCCAGCTGGAAACTGGCGCTGATCCCGGCGCTTCCGCTGAGCCCTGACAGCCCTGCAGCTCCAGCCATCTCTCGCTCAGGCTTGTGCGGTGCTGCCACCGGTTCAATTCATTCCCCTCCCCCACTACCACTTTTCTAGGATGGTCGCGTACCACCTACCAGGTGCCAATGTACCACAGGTGGTACTGGTACCACTGGTTGAAAAGCCCTGCTCTAAACCACAGACAAATTGACCTCTGGGTTTATGACAGTGGTTCTCAACCTGTGGGTCGGGACCCCATTTGGGGTCGATCGACCATTTCATGGGGGTCGCCAAGCAAGGCTGTCCGCCATTTTTTTTGTCCGCCATTTTTTTCCCCTTTTCCAGCGGGTGCCTTACCTCCCTTGGGCTGGGCCAGCTGGTGGTCGGCCTGCT